TAGTGAGAACACTACGTGTCGTACACTCATAATAGCATCTACCTCCATTTCTGTTGAAACAATAGTTTCATTTTACGGTTAGTAACAATGATTGGAGCAGTAAAATTCAACTTATTAAGACATCACTCTTGCTTTTCTGCAAGGTTACCCTAACAGAAAAATCCTCACTTGTTTGGAGGACAACCACTTATCTATTCCATAGATTTTAATATGAAGTTGAAGTAGAGTACAAACATTAATTAATGTGTGCATCACTTTCCACTATTTACTACAAAATAGTGTTAATTAAACAATAGAAAACAATAGAATTAGCATAATTTAGTAGTATTTAGTGGTATTCATGTTGCACAGTTTTAGTGTTTCTACACCTTAAGATAAATAATACAACACTTACTTAGGGTTTCCTACTAGTCCAGGAAGACACTGTTCACAATTGCTGCCCATTGTGTTATCATTACAGAAGCATACTCCTGTTGTATTGTCACACTCTCCTTTTGTTAAATCCCCATGGCCATTRCAGTCACACTTTTTGCAGCCTTGTTTTGTGGTTGCGTTGCCATAAGATCCAGGAACACACTTCTCACAGTAGTTCCCRTGAGTGTAATCTGAAGTTTCAATGATTAATTATAAATCAATATTTCTTTGTAGTTTGCCTATTTAATATATATTTGACATTTATCAKAATTCTAGCAAAATGGTGGCACATATCTCTATTACTAGTAGCTTAAAATGGGAGCAATAAACTATAATCAATATACTATTTTCAAAAATTTTGTTGGATTTAATATTTTTCTAATCTACATCTACCTATGTTGGATTAGTTTGAACTAGCAAAAATAACAAACTCTGTGTCATGAACCTAAACCTTAATTTTGCTTCTACATATTGCCACTGAGCATGGACACAAGTTTAGTCTTTTAGATATAATGTATGATGTAGCAATTAAAATTCATGTCTCTTGATCGTTTACACAAAACTTCAGCTGGACCCCTGTAAAAACAACTTTATTTCTAAGATAGAGTTATCTTAAAGTCACCTTGACATTTATCACATATCCCGATGCCTTTGTTACATGTACTATGACCATTACATCCACAATCTATAGAGCAGTTGATTCCCTTCCAACCAAGATCACAGACACATGTGTAGTCAGACTTACAAACTCCATGAATGCATGGTGGATCACATCTACAATAAAAAATATAATGCTGTATTACTGGATGCTGTAATTTAAGTGATGAATATACAGATGCATAAATTGATTGAATCCATGACTTAAAGTTTTAAGTGCTAACTTTTCAAATTTTACAGTAAATTGGTAAATTTTTCATGATCTTTCTGATCAAGATGTCAAAGATGTCTTTTAATCAATAGGCATTCCTAAGGCARCTCAAATCATACAGGTACATACGTTTTATTACAAAATTTCTTGCCATCGCCAGTAAAACCACGGTTACAGACACAATTATAKGAATCATAAACATTGTGACAGCTTGCATTGTAATGACAGTTGTGTAAACCAAGTCTRCATTCATCAACATCAGGACACCGACCATATGACCAGGCCACGCTGATAATCATTCATAAAAAAAATCATGTTTTATTGTAATGGRATGAGTTAAAGAATAAAATGGAGAGAAATAAAAATGATCTGGGTACTAGTTTGTATGCATATTAGTATTGTGCAAGAGCTGTGATAGCTCTATAAATTTGAATCTTCTCCAGTTTGAGGCTAAGCCTGTTGTATTCCCAAAAGACCAAGAGTTTGAGCCTTGACTGGGAACACAAGCTTAGCCTCAAATTGTAGAAAATGCAAATTTGTAAGGCTATTGTTAATGACAACATTTTTCTTGTGCTTTCTTTTGTTTTTGGTAAGGTGCCTGCGCATGACAGACTGYTGTTAACTAAAACAGCGTTTGCTTGCTTTGAACAGGAAAAAGGCAAATTYATACATGGGATGTTCTCAAGAAATTACAATCAATAAGAAAGTTATTCTTTACCTTTCATTCAGGTTTACTGCACTTGAGCAATTGCCCACACTAGGCCCAACAAAGTCACCATTAACACAGCTATAAATAGACAAAAAAGTTAACCTTTAGTAATAGAGCTTGATTGAGTGCAAGCTTGTGTTTTTAGCATCAAATAATACTCCTTTCGGTCATGCACAATTACAATTCACAAATGTTTCTTGAAATTGGTATATGATTCATAATAATATGGTTCATTCTTTTTCATTAAGTGACTTGGCTTAAGGCTGATTTACACGGTACRATTTGTCGCGCGCGACTTGTAGTATACGATTTTCCTACTACAAGTCGTAGGATTTTAAGCAGTGCTTCAAAACCCTACTACAAGTCGTAGGTTGTGTACGACTGTTGTAGACAAGTCGTAGGGGCATTTACACTGCGCGATTCAAGTCGTATACTACAAATCGCATGARACAATCGTGCCGTGYAAATCAGCCTTTACAAACATTGCTTTGATGCCATTAATCATCCTTACCTTCCTCTCAAGGGATTATCTGTGCTTCCACACCAACCACACTTGATGTCAGACAAACAAGCTTTACAATTTGTATGCATACTGCAGTTTTGACACTTAATTTCATTACTGTTCAATAAACAAGAATAAATTGAGATATGAAATCATATTCCAAAAAGRCATTTATCACCAAATATTAGATTTTTGTTGTCACCAAGGGAGCGTTCATTATTTAGCACCAGGCAGGGGGTGGGTGATTGTGTAGCCTCAAATACCATTTAATGTATAACCCCTCTTTTCGGAATATAGCATTCTCAATGACCCCTCCTGTCCTGTGGGACTAAATCTGATAACCCCTCCTTTCAATATAATCATTCAAATATGTAGTATTCTGCATTAGAGAGTGGTCAATTATTAATTTCAGAAAATATTTGGGGAGTTTTAGCTAAATATATTCCCCATATTTCACAATAAAAACTGCCTCAAAAACAATATTCATTACATTGCCAAACTGCAACTTTAAGAATGAACTGTAAAATTGTGAGTGTAAACATGCTATCTTTCAATATTATCTATCTCTGAGTTTGCAAGGAGTCAAAAAAAAGGAATTTGAAAAACGGAAAACTGGAGTACCAAAGCGATATTGAGTATTTCGCTAACAAATTTGCTGTTGAGATTAGCTTAGTACAAGATTACATATTTAAACATCTGAAAGATCTTAAGCACCGATCAGAGATGCGATCTGAGCAACAGAAAAACAAAAACAAAAAAATGCAACAAAAGAAATTTGAGCATTATGACTGGAAAACACTTGCTCTGAATGGGGGAAATCAAAAAGTTGAGGGTGCATAAACTGCTGGTGGGTGTAAAATCTCTGACTAAGTAGCATGTATACCTAGTCATGTTCTTAGGAATGAGTCAGAAAAGGCTCGCAATCAGACTGCTGCATGTGTCAGCTATGGGTACTCCCCCGAAACTTGGGTGGGGGTGTGCCGCTAGGACCTCAAAACCCTGACCCTGTTCCAGAGTGAAATCTCTGATAACTATACCCTGTTCCAGAGTAAAATCGATGAAAACGATACTCTGTTCCAGAGAAAATCCTGCACTACTTTGCGTGTAGACCGAATTTTTACCCCATGAATTTTTATCCAGCATCAATAATTCCGGAATTCAACCCTGACCCTGTTCCAGAGAAAGTTCGTTGAAATCGATACCCTGTTCCAGAGTAAAATCGCTAAAATCGATACCCAGTTCCAGAGAAAAATCGCTGAAAACGATACCCTAGCTGGCGACACGTCCCCGTATAGCGAATATAGGGGAGTACCCC